CCCCCGGCAGCCCATGGGGACAGGCATGTGCCCGGGGTGGCAGGCAGTAACAGCAACCCACCAGGGCCTCGGTCCGTGCAGGTTGCTGTGATGCCGGGCTGACTCCAACAAGTGTCATTCACAGCCGCACCCTCCTTCCCGTCCGCCCCATTTCCTGTCTCCACTGTGGGCTGTGCCCCCTCCAAGCCGGTCTCCCTGGGATGGCAGCCTCCATGGGGCCCGGTGGCCAGGCATGCCCCGTTCTCTGGGCAGAGATGTGCTCCTGCCTCCCGTTGGCTTTTCCCCAGACATCTCTCTCCCCTCACCTCATCCCCCCCAGTCCCTCCCCACATCACACTATTACAGCAATATCACATAGCCACCAGCAAACCGCTCCGGCAACCACCCAGTTTAAAGCAGCCCAGCAACGAAAGCCAGCCGATTGCTGTGCCCCGCCGACAGCAATTTGGGACCCAGAAGGGGGGTCGCAGAGGGGCAGGGCTGAGGCTCCATGAGCTCTCTCTGCCCACGAGCATCCTGATCCCCTCCTCAGGGTTGCTGAGAGCATGCGAACACCGTGAGGCCTCCGGTTCAGCTCCGCAGGGCTCTTGGGACAGCAGGCAGGCTTTCCATCTGCAGAAAGGCAATGGGGAAAAACTCCATCCCCTCCCGCTGGGCCATTGCTAATAACAAAGTGTGTGGGTGGGGAAAGGCACAGAGCGACCTCCAAGTCATATTCAGGGCTATAAAAGGAAGCTGGGTCTCCAGCACGGTACCTCTTCCACAAAAGCAACCCGAGGATGAGGGGGCTGCGAACGGAGTTGAAAAATAGCTGCCAGGCAGCAGGAGAGGAGCGGAGCGAAGTGTGAGGTGCACATATGCTCTCTGTTTCTGCACATCTACGTCTTCGTGAAACCTGCCCAAAACTGTGTCATCTATTTTGAACAGCGCAGAGAAATACTTTGATCTGCCTCCACCAGCCCTGGCTGCGGTTCAGGAACCAGCAAGTGGCTGTCATACAGGTGGCCGATCCCAAAACTCGTGTGATGGAGAGACAGGAGCAGGGCTGCTGCACCATCTCCCTCCAGCCAACAGCAGTGAGGGACATCACACATTCCAGGAAAACCTCCAGAGCAGTGCACCATGTGTCCAAGCCCACCTGCAATCTTCATGCCAGACACCAGCGCTGCTTTGGGGCTGCCAGGCTGGAGAGGCCATTGAGCTCTGGGTCAGCGCGTCCCCACGTTGCCCTGGGGCGAGTACAGGCCTCCAGCTGGGGCGGAGGACACGCTGGGCCTGCCTGCACCTTGGATGATGCAAACGAGGCAGCACAGCCTGATCCTCATCCACCCGCACCACCACATCGAGCCCTTCCTCGGGAGGCAGCCCCCGCCACACCCCAGTCCTCAGGGCTCCTCATTCAGCTCCAGAGCAGCACGGAGAGCAGACGGCACCAGATCTCTCCAGACGCCCCATCCCACTCCCTGCCATGGTACCCGACCCCCACGCTTGGCTCTGATGCTTTTGCCTCCCTCATCCCTGTGCTCCTCCCCGGAGGTAGCACGTCCCCAGGGCCGCTCGCCTTCCTGGGATGGTGACAGCTTCCGTCTGGGGACATGTGCAGGCACCCAGCAAAGCGATTGTTTCGGGAAGCACCAGGCAGAGGACAGGACAGAAGGGGGCCAAGAATAGCGGAGGGCCTGGTGCCAGCACTGGTGATGGGGCTGAACGGAGGAGTACCGGATGCTAGGCTGGGTCTGCCGGGCTTGAGGAGGCAGCAGCACCCAAAACGAGTGCCAAGACCCCAGAGCAAGCGTAACACAGTCCCGCACATGGCACCATCTGTGAGCCAGGCAAGCACCCTCTGCTCTGGACCAGCACAGAACCATTTCATCCAGCATCCAAAGCCAGGCTGGTGATGGAGAAAGGAGCTCAGCCCTGGCAGGAGTCTCCCCTGAGAGTCAGTGGGTATTGCTGCCACCCCTCAGCAGATTAGGGTGCGAAGTAACATCCTAGAGGTCACCCCATTTGCTCCCAGCACAGTTGGGCACGGACCAGGCACTACTCCTGTCTGGAGTCAGAGAGCTGGGTCCTGAGCAGGGCGTGTGGCCCGCCCCAACCAGATCTACACATCCCACTTCCCAGCAAAAGGTGTTGGTGTGGCTGATTTTTACCAAACCCAAACAACTGGCAATGCCTAGCACCCTTCCTCACCCATTGGGATCTTCCCAGATCCTCCGCATTGGGTTCCTGGGGACCGAGGGTTTGCAGGGTGCATCTGCCTGGTCACCTCTGGCTCAGCCCTTCCCCGAGCCGTTCACTGACCCAGAGAAGCCATATGCACAGTGGGCAGCTTGAGCCCGCAGCAGAGCCCTCACAGGCCCTGCCAGCAGTGGGCAATCAACACTGTGATATCCTCAGCAAGTAAATACCCCCCTGCTCTGCTGGAAGGGGCAGCCCAGACCCTTGTGGTGCCACAAAACGGGAGAAACCAGCCTGATGGTGAGGCAGGGCTGGGCGACAAGAGTGAAGGAGTGAGATCTGCAGCCTGGGCAGTTCCCACGCCCTCGCCTCTCCCTCAGCAACCCAAACCCCGCTGGTCCCACCTTCGAGGGGTGTGACCCAGCCTCTGCCTCACCCAGGGAAGCTCATTTGCCTCGATTCAGGTGGGTTAGGGGTAACCATCCTAATTCCTGCACCTCATCCACAGCATCGCCCTGGCTCCACCCAGCACCACAGTAAGCCTGGCAGCCACTCCTTCCCGGAACACCTCACACAGGGCACATCCTGCTTCCCTTCAGTGCTTCTGCGGGGACATCAGGCTCTCCAGCCCCCCAAGAAGTCTAAGGCAGCATGTGCCACAGAAGGCAGGCAAGAAAGGGAGCATCTCAGCCAGCTCTCTCCTTCTTACTCCACAGAGAGTAGTTCTGTGCTATCTCAAGTGCCGACAGCCAACAGAGCCGCAGATGCTGGGGCATGGCTCAACCACAAATGCTTCGCAGAGCAAAGCGACCACAGCACAGCCCTGAGGAGCTGAAACACAAGCAACAGCTCACTTGGAGCCCGTTTCAGACCAGCTCTGGTCTCCAAACCAGAGCAGATCACCTGTCCAGACAGAGCATAGCCAGGGCCAAGCCAGAAATGGACACGCTGAAGCCAGTGAGCGAAGGGAGCAGGAAAAAGAAGCAGGGCAGCAGGGCCCAGGGCATTCACAGCTCATAGGTGCCCTGATAGTTCTTTATTGTCCTCTGAGCTGGGTGGCAGCTCAGCCACGTCTGGAAGAAAAAAAAGTCTCCTGCAGCTGCCCTGGGAGGCAGCACCGGCATCTGCAGTGACACGCAGGAGTCCTGCTCTCAGCCTCTTCTGTTGGTCCCGGTGAAGTCTGGTTCTTGGCCTTTTCTGTTCCTCTGCATCTCACCAGCACTGCCGTGCTCATCCACTGCAAAAATCCTGCCGGCCCCCAGCAGCTCGGCAGCAGCCCCAGCATCTTGGCACAAGCACAGCGAAACAACTGGCACGTGGAAAATGAGCTCAGCCAAACGTGCACCAAGGGGTCTCGCTTGCATCACAGTCCAGCAAGATATTAAGGACGGTGCAAGGGGCTCCTGCCACACTCAGAGCTGTCCGTGACTCGATTCGGTACCTGACATTGTTCAGACCTCCCTCCCGATCCACCTTAAACTGCTCCTAAGAAAAAGAAAGACCATTCAGTCCGTGCTGGCTTCCAGCAGAGGGGAAAGCACCCAGTGCCTGGGCAGAGCTGGCAGGGAAGTACATGAGCAAGGAGGGCTCAGCACGTGGTGATCACAACCCGAATCTCCCGTGGTTCCTTGACCGTGCTGAGGTCTCACCTGCTTCTGCCCGGCGATGCGCTTCTGATCCCTCTTCCTCCAGGCTGGGTCATGGAGGTGCTGGAAAGTCTCGTATCCAGTTGTGATTCCAGAGGGACGGCGAACCTGGAAGGAGAGCAAAGCTTCTGTAAAGCCACTGGAAAACTTGCTGCACCTGGCACCAGAGTGAGGAGCACAGAAGGGCTGCCTTCCCCAGCCCTGACCTGGGTGGCTACAGCCAGAGGCCAGGTGGGGAGACAAGGAGAAGGGCAATTTCAGCCTAGGAGGCCACAAAACACCCCTTACCTGGAGACCAGCTCCTTTGATACGTCGATAAAACTCATCGTCCTCCCGTCCCCAGCCCCAGAAGCGGTTGGACATGCCATTGCACTGGAACGAGAGGGGCACTGTACTGGCCGAGGTCTGGTTCAGAACAACTCTCCGCAACGCAGAGGAATGGACACCCATATCACAAACTGAGCGTCCGCACCACCTCTCCTCTCCCATCCACCGCCAACACACACCACATGTTCTGCCCTCAAACTTTTTTTTTTTTGACCCCTTTCCCTCCTTCCCAAGTGTGGAGCACAAAACGTACAACTCCACCAAAATGATGTCACAGCTCCTGCCCCAAACTGGCCGGGACGTCCCACTCCCGCACTCACCATCTCATAGTGCTGCTTGGTGAGCAGCAGGATGCCGCCCACATAGGTCTTATAGTGGTAGAGTGGGTGCAGCTCCGGGGATGCCACATGAAAAGGCCCTGCCTCTGGGAAGCCGTAGTCCAGCTGCTCGTTCAGGGGCAGGAGATCGACGTCATGCATCGCGATGTAGTCGGTGTCATTACCACTCTCCAGGAAGCCCACGTTGATCAGGGACGCCCTGTTAAACCTGCCGCAGGACCAGGGAGTTTCAGCACCACACAGACCATCTATTCACAGCCCTCTCCTGTGCTCCTCAAAGCTAAATGTTCAAGTGGTCCCCAAACACTGTGTTCCCTGCCTCCATGGCACCCGGTGTCATGGCTGCCTGTCCTGAAACCCCAGCCCTGCTGCTCCCTACGCAGGCAGCACACGCTGAGCCCCACAGCAACACACAGGTATTTGGCCACTGCAGCCTCCAAGGGGCTACAACAAGCCCTGTCCTGCCCGAGATCAGCTGGGGAACATCATGGCACCCGCTGGGGCTGCAGGGAGGTACTGGACAGCGAGCGTGGGGACAGCGATGGCGTTTCCAAACAGCCCACGGCATTTCTTTCAGTTTCAGCGTCCCCAGATGTTTATTGCTACAGACCTGCAGCACTGGGGAGAAAGCTGAAATACCTGGGGGTGGATAATCCTCTTCTTGCTTAGGATGAAAGAAGCAAAACATGGCTTTGTCCTTCCGTAAGCTCTACAAGGAGTAAATTCTAAATAAGCATCGCACCCCGGCACTGTCTCCCTGTTGTCCAGGCCCTACGCTTCTCCACGCTGCCAGAGACAAGCGCGAGACCCTCTCGGGGGGGACAAAATTTTGGAAAAGTACCCCCTTGCTCCCCCTTCTTTTTTTTCAGCTGGGCCAGGGAGATGCTACCTGAAATGATCCACCTGGTTGAGGATGAAGATGTGATGACGGATCCTCTTCTGGCTCAGGAAGCGGTGCATGTAGGGCACGAAGGCCAGCAGCTCCTCGAAGCGCTCCCGGAAAGGGACGAGCAGCGCCAGGCGGTGAGGACCCCACGACGGCTCGTCCTC